CCACTCCCACCACCCCCTCCCAGCCCGGCCATCGCCGGGTCCAACTGCAGCTCCGCCATCTTGGGCCGCCGCCGCCGCCACTGCCCGCGCGCTGCCGGGCCGGCCCATCTCTCGGCAGGGAGAGCCGGACCGGCCCATCGGCGGAGGTGGGGCCGGGGAGAGGGACGGGAGCGCCCCCAACCAGCACCCGGGCACCTGAACGGTGGAGGCTCTGTGCCCGCCCTTATAGGCGGGACTTCCGGGACTAATCTTCATCTCTATTGGCTGGCCTATGAAGCAAGGCCCGCCCCCTTCGATTCGGGGTTGGCGAGGGAAGACCTTCTGGTGACGTACTTCCGTCACTTGCTGCTGTGGACTGTGGGCCTCCGGGGTCGGTGAAGGTGAGTAGGGTTGGGACGTTGGGTCCGACCCGAGGGGTTTCCTCTGCTCTTTCGCCTCCAAACCTCGCGCCGACCCTTGTCGCAATCCTGCCAAGGACGCCAGGCCCTACGGTGCCCCGCTGGCTGGGTGCCCCTGGTGTAGCTGCTGCCGCTTTGCTCCGCGCTCCCTTCCTCTTCCCTCCCCGGCGCGAGAGGCCGCAGCGGCCCGGCTGTGACCTGGTCGCCTCTAACTTAGGCGCTTCCACAGACCTGGTCTCGTCCGGTCCGCCCCCGGAGCGGCCGACTTTAGTAGTCGGGTTCGGAGCCGGGAGCTACCTTACCTGGGGATAGTTATGTAACTCGAGGCGCCCGCCCCTCCCTCCTGAGGGCCCCAGCTTTCGAGCGTCTGGGCCGCTCGGAGCTTCTCGAGTGCAGGGGTCATTTACCCCTTCAGCCAACATTCGTCGAGCGCCTCCCGTGTGCATGGCCTGTTCTACACCCTGGGGATTCAGCAGTAAATAAAAGACAAAAAACTCCTTCGTTTATGAAGCCTACCTTCTACTGGTGCTTGAGAAGGTCTCTTTAAGGATAGTTATCTCTCTGGTGCCTTTAAAAAAGTCACCTGTCCCTCACTTCCATTTCAGGAGGCAAGCTATCCTGGAGGTGGGGGGAGGAAAGGAAGCGGCAGGTGTTGGACAAGTTTTTTAAGATCCTGGGGAAGATTTACTACCACCTCTTGGGATCCACCCCATGGCCTGTAAAGAGCTTTGATATTTCAGTCTTTCTCCTGATGTCTGACGCTGATCCTATTTGGTTTAAGTTGACTATTTTACTATATTCTGTCTTATTTTAAAAAGCTGGCTATAATCACTTTCCATTTTTTCTCACGTTCATAAATATTATTGAATATCTCTTTTAGGGATGTTGCTAATATGCTCAGGCTACGTGGTGGTGCTGCAGGGGATAAATCCGACATGAATAAGAAGAGCAGGCCTATTACCAATCTGCTAGGGAAGGCATAGGGAGCCCCTTAATTTGTATAAGACTGTAGAGCAAATTGATGCGCAGTTTCCTTTGATACTTTCAGTAGCTTTCTGAGGTAAGCAGGGCTGATGTTATCCCCACTTTTCAGGTGAGGAACTTCTGGTCTAGGCTCTGCTCTATCTAAGCCTTGTGGGAACTTGGGTATGTGTCAGTTCTGTGCACTGAAGAATAGATAAATAAAAGACAATTTAAATTAAATTGTTAACTTGAATGCAAGCTATGAGTACTACTTTAAAAATATTTCCAAAGGTACATGGAGAACAAACACCAGAGAAATGAGCTTTTAAGGACGAGTTGGGAGAAGAGGGAGGAGCATTTAGGGGGAGAGAATATATTTATATGCTAGGTTGCACACCTTGGATTTGGAAAGCTAAGCTGTCCTCCTTTTCTGATTTAGTAATCCTAATTTCTTTTAGTTGATAAATATATCCACCAAGCGCTCAGAGGATGCTGATCTATTTCTGAAAGACTCGCATGTTTCTAAGATGACCTTTATAGGATTCTCTCCAAGAGCCCTGTTTTGATCTGACCTGTTTTATTTTCCAGGATCTCAAGATGGCTGGGCGAAAACTTGCTCTAAAAACCATTGACTGGGTAGCTTTTGGAGAGATCATACCCCGAAACCAGAAGGCCATTGCTAACACCCTGAAATCCTGGAATGAGACCCTCACCTCCAGGTCAGTGCCTTTCTGAGAGAGAGCCTCCTATCTTGCCATTGAATGTGGAAACAAAACAGTGATTTAGAGCTACTTATGACTTTCTGATGCTCTTCTGACAGGAAGTATAAAAAAAACCCATGTATTTTCCAAATGAAAATCATATATATATATTTTTTCATTTCTATGCTCGCTCTCCTAGAGAAAATTGTGATGATGCGTCCAGGTCATAGTACTGAGGAACAGGGAAATTACTGTGTGAATTTTCTGTTGCTCATAGAACAGTCTTAACTTTTGCTTTTCTGTGTGAGAAGGTTGGCTACTCTACCTGAGAAACCACCTGCCATCGACTGGGCTTACTACAAGGCCAATGTAGCGAAGGCTGGCTTGGTAGATGACTTTGAGAAGAAGGTGAGACTTAGGCAACTAAAGCATTGGTCTTGTGATGTGGCTTGTGGGTGGGGGGAGGACGGTAGACAATTACATGTGCAGGATGACAGAAAGAAAGTTGGTAACACTCATCCCAAAGAAAGTTTAGATGAGGTGGTTGTGGTCAGTGGTCGTTAGTAGATTTACATGGTAAATACATGCAGAGAATTCAGGGTCTATTCATTCATCAGGCTCTTAAGCCAAACAAACAGTACAGTAGAGCCTTAATTAGGGAGCCAGAGGACTGTCAAGTTAAATGTTTCTACTCATCTCTTCCTGAATAATTTGTTGGTTCCCCACCTGTCTTCTTTGGAATAAACTGACATCTTTTCTATCCTTTTTCTACTCTGCCCTTTTTACTGTCTCTTATAGCTGTAATTTTTAAAAAATTTTTACTTATATAATTATTTTAAAAATTTATCTTTGTTGTTAAAAGTATTACAGATGTCCCCTTCTTTTCCCCATTAACCTTCCCCTTCTAGCTGTAATTTCTTGTCAACCTATCAAGGGCCTCCTCTGTGCCAGGTGCGATGCTGAGTGCTGGGGCTATAACACTTAAGCTGTCTTCTAGGGGACCATATCCATCTACATTATGCAAACATTACTTCCACCAAGTCCAGTAGGGTTTCACTTAAAAGAGAAATCAGAATTTCTTTAGAACTACAAGGTTCTAAGAGGCCCCCCCCCCCCCCTTTTTGGGGGTAGAGAGAAACATCAATTTGTTGTTTTACTTACTTATGCATTCATTGGTTGACTCTTGTATGTGCCCTGACTGGGGATCGAACCCACAACCTTGGCATATCAGGGCAACACTAACCAACTAAGCTACCTGGCGAGGGCTAAGAGGTCATTTTTGAGGTCATCCAGTTCAACTGTTCTTTTCAGATGAAGAAACTGAAGATCATCATAATAAAGAATTGTCCAAGGTCTCCAGTTAGTTAGTGACAGGGCTGCGAAGAACCTTGAGCTCCCTTTCCTGGTCTAATATTCTTCCCACTACAACTAGATTCGTACTGGTTTCCTCTTGGCATGGAGAATGTGTTTTTATGTGATCTATGAGGATTAGCAGTTTAGAGCCCTTTCTTGGGGTTCCTGGGTATATTAATGACAACTCACTGTGTCTGTGTGTGTAGTTTAATGCCCTGAAGGTTNATTAGCAGTTTAGAGCCCTTTCTTGGGGTTCCTGGGTATATTAATGACAACTCACTGTGTCTGTGTTTGTAGTTTAATGCCCTGAAGGTTCCTGTGCCAGAGGATAAATACAGTGCCCTGGTGGATGCTGAAGAAAAAGAAGATGTAAGTAGTTGAAATTCTTATTTAATCAAAAATTCTCTTAATTCTTCATGGCTCTACATTTCTTAGTCATTAGGTTGAGATAGAGCGAACTAAAAGGAGCAGTAAAATAAAACTCTAGAAAATGCAACCTCAGTAGTTGCTTGGGAATTGGAGGGAGGGAGCTAATCAGTTTGTTCTCTGTCTTGATCGTGGCCATGGTTTCACAGTTGGATACATATGTCAAAACTGATCAAGTGGTATTCTTTAAGTATGGGCATTTTATTGTATGTCAGTTATATCTCAACAAAGCTGTTACAAACGGTTAAGGAGTTGGAATTGGGTAGGAAAATTATTCAATGTGTTTGAAAGTACTAAAGGCCAAATGTTGGGAATCAGATGGCTCCACCAAAGAGAAGTCTGGCTAGGTGGTCAGGTGGCTTATCCTGACCATTGGCTAACCAGCACCTACAAAACATGGGCATTTTGTAGATTGCCTAGACAAGTAACGAAGAACCCTGGTCCTGCCCCTTTGTGCGTTTAGGAAAAGCTGTAGTTTGTTTCCCAAAGAGAGCTCCCCCAGTAGTCACAGTGGCTACATGTTCTCCATAGAGAGTGAGAAAGCAAGAGTGGTCTGGCTTCTGGGACTTAGACCTTCGGAGCCTCAGAGTCAGGACAGTTTCACTTGGTTTCAAAACAGAATTTCTCCCTTCTTTTAAAGGTGAAAAGTTGTGCTGAGTTTTTGACTCTCTCAAAGAGCAGGATTGAGCAATATGAGAAAGAGGTAAGGATGAGCTTTGGCCTTTGCCTGGGATGTTTCCTTAAACCTAGTGGCAGTTACCTGTCTGGGGTTCTTTTTTTTGCATCTCTGCAGCCCTCCTTACCTTAACATATTTCCCCTCCTTCCAGCTGGAGAAGATGAGGAACATAATTCCATTTGATCAGATGACCATTGAGGATTTGAATGAAGTCTTCCCAGAAACCAAATTAGACAAAAAGAAGTATCCCTACTGGCCTCACAGGCCAATTGAGAGTTTATAAACTTGAGTGTGGGAGGAAGCTCTGGCCCTCACATCATAAACTCTGGACATTAAAAATAATTCTATAGTGCTGTGTGTGTCTGCTCCTTCGCAGGTGAGATAGTTACAACTGGAAGTGGGCTTTTTGTTAAAATGGAAAGGTGAGCCTACAGGTGTGTGCTGGTCCAGTTGTGTAATGATCAGGATATGCTCCTAATCCCAAAAGAAAAAGATCCTAGAGGATTCTAGAAGATTCTTTGTTGAGTGCTGGCACTATTCCTTAGTCATATTTATATTCCCTAGGCCTTAGCATTGTGCTTGGAGTTTAGAAGAGTCTTAATATGAATTCATTGTGAATGAAAGAAGAAATGTGAGCCCTTGGGTTCATATCTCGCTAGGGGTTGCTCACACATAAACTTTGAATAATTGGGCCAACTGGTATATTAGTAAATGATGATCATGACTTATAAAGCAGATACTGTGTTCCAGGAATCGTTCTAATCACTTTAGATAAATATCATCTCCCTTCTCCTCACAACAACCCTATGAGGTAAGGAGTGTATCAGCCAAGACATTAAGTCCTTTGAAGCCCTGGCTGGTTTGGCACATGCGGGGGTTGCAGCTTGGTCCCCAGTAAGGGGTGTGTAGGAGGCAGCTGATCGATGTTTCTCTCTCCCTCTCCCTTTCTCTAAAATCAGTAAAGACATATTTTAAAAAAGAAGTCCTTTGAAGGTGACAAAATTGCCAGTGATATGATACGTTTGCTGTTTTCTACCCAGAGCCTTCTCTGACTACTCAACAGCTTCCCATCACCCCTTTTATTTCAAATAATCTTCTGTTTATTACTTATTTACTGTCCTCTCATTAGAACGTAAGCTCCTTGGAGGCAGAGGCTGGAGGAGGTTTAAGGGAGAACTGAAGCCTGAAACTGGAAAAGAAGTAGTGTCTCGTGTCTCGTGCAGACAAGGCCCGTGATGCTGCAGTTACGTGGCAGGGCTTGGGAGCCAGAGGTAGTAAAGTGGCGTCCATGAGCCTTGGTGACTGGAGTAGAGAAGAATAATTCTGGGTGACCCTGGAGAAGGGAGAGGAGAATTCTGTACTTCTAATTCTTTGTTTTGTTTGTTGTTTCTTTTACAAAAGTACAAAAAACTGGTTTTTAAACTTTTTTTGAGTCAGGGACTTAGGAAAATCTCATAAATAATACAGCTTTTCCTTGAATAAATAGAAGTATTCCCAAAGTGCACATAATGTAAGATACTCAACCTTGAAAGCCCAGCCGTGACGCCTCAGAAACTGTGGGCTTCAAGGTTAAAAAAAAAAATCTCTGGGCAGGTTCGTAGTTCTAAAAACGTAAACATTTTCCTAAAGGAATTCACGCATATACAGGGAAGTGTGAAAATCATGGATGTACATCTCTCCCAGAGTCCCTTTTTAAACACTACCTGGGATCACACGATTTCAGTGCCATCTTTTTTCCTGGGATTGGCAGTTATTATCTCCACTGTCCAATGCTCATGTGCACACATGCTTGTACACACCCGCACACACACACACACCTTGCTCAGCTGTGGGTGCCATTTCAGTGGGGACGGTCCACAGCAGGATCATTGGCATGGAGTTGTGCAGCACTCCTACCCCACCTGCCTCTCTCCAGGGGGAGGCAGGGAGGGGCTAGGGGCTGCAATTTTGGCTATTAACAGTGATGGTCTCACAGAACACAGTCCTTTGAGCAGATAAGTGGATACCAACTCAGAGAGGGAACAGGAAGTAGGGCCCCCCATTGGCCCTCATACCTGTTTACCTTTCAAAAGTGTAGTCAGGCTTGATCAAAAAAAGGGTAAAACAGTTGCAGCTGAGATGCACCCATGCACACACAGAAAATGCTGTTAAAGAGAGAAAATGGACCAAATGTTTTAATTCACCTTAAGAAGGGTATAGGAAAAGTTCGTCAGTGGTTAAATTACTTCACCCCAGATGGGACTCGAACCCACAATCCCTGGCTTAGGAGGCCAGTGCCTTATCCATTAGGCCACTGGGGCAGTACGCAAGCGGCGCCGGATCATTTGCCTTTTGAACTGTGATGTGCGTAATGACGTCATACCGGAAGCTTCCGGTGGCAAAACCACGCTCATCATGTTCATCTCCAGTGGAGTAGAGCTCATCCGAGAATGGGTCGGGAGGCCGGGGGTGAGGGGTCCAACAAAGTGTGGGATTCGGTTCTGGTAGAGCCTGCCCTCTGGAAGAAGGCTAGAACCTTCACCTTCCTGATCCGGAGTCGGGCGCTTACTCTCTGCGCCACGCACGCCGTCCGGCTCTACCGCGAGGCTTCCGTAGGGCCCTGTGGACGCACCGCGCAGGTGTTGGCTGCACAGACCGCGTTCCGGCTCCGCCTTCGCTGCACCCCGCGGCCCAGAACCCGCAGCTCCCCCGGCACGACTCGCCCCCTGCGAGGGAGTTACACCTGGACCGCGCACAGCCTACCGCAGGCAGCGGGACCGCGTGGCCTAACGGATAAGGCGTCTGACTTCGGATCAGAAGATTGAGGGTTCGAGTCCCTTCGTGGTCGGTGCGTTTGCTTTTTGGAAGGGGGGCTTCCGGCGTGGGGGCGGCGCGGAGAAACCCCGCTCGCCTGTACTGCCCTCCCCCCCCTCCTGTCCCTCCTGTCCCACCGGCCAGCACCTCGCCTCGGCCGCCTGACCCTTGTTCACACTTGTTTTCCGAGCGTCTCGCACATCCTGGGACGTGCTCGCCGCCGCGCGCCCGGAGGTCTCGGCCGGCACTTCCCCATCGTGTGTCTAGCTTTTAGCCTTTCGCGCCTGGCGGGTGAACCCTCCGGTTGTCTAGCTGGCTTTCCGCGACCTGTACCACGTCCCGGTCTAGGGATGCGCGCTGCGGCACCGGCACCGCGCGGCAGGTCGTCTGAGGGCTGTGCGCTTGCGGGTGAGCTTTATCAAGGGCCACGTGGGGGGTGCGTTTTGTCGCGCCCCAGTGGCCTAATGGATAAGGCACTGGCCTCCTAAGCCAGGGATTG